CCGGCGGCGGCGGGGCCGCCATGGACCCCGTGCGCAGCTTCGAGCGCTGGAAGAAGAAATACACGCGGCGGACAAAGAGGCTGCGGCTGCAGCGCAAGGAGAGGAAGCGGCCCGAGTGGCAGGTGGAGCGGGAGAACATCGGCCGCCTGGTGCAGCGCTACCCCGAGGTACCCGGGCCGGGAGCGAGGGGCGGTGCGGGGCGGGCGGGCGCGGCGCTCCATGAAAAAGCGGCTCCTCTCCTCGTGTGGCGTGCGTGTGGATAGAACTGGGAGGAGGAGGGATGGTGTCTGCAGTGCTGGGCAGCGGTGGGGAGACCCCGGTCGGCAGGGCTGGTGGTGGTGCCCGTAGGTAAGAGGGGTGTTGGTGGCACTGCTGTGCGGCGGGCGGTGGGCTTTCTCTGTCACGAGGTGGGATCGGGCTCTGTTCTTTTTCCCCAGGCAGGAGGAGGGGCCAGCAGCCGCAGTTCCAGGGGTTTTGGTGGAGGTGACTGGACAGGCTGTGGATCCGGAAGCAGTGGGACCCTCGGCGGGGCAGTTCATGGTTAGGAGGGCAGCGAGGAGGAGGAGGAGGCTGAAGCAGGTTGTAACCAGGGGCACTTGGCCCTTCTCACCAGGCAGCGTGGATATCTCCCTGTCGGAGATAGCGCACGTTTGTCTCCATAGAAGATGCAGGACGGGCAAACCATCAGTATGAATGAATGTGATGTTTAGCCTCAAGTCAGGAAATAGGTATTTGAATGCGAGACCTGAAGTGGGTGGTGTTGGTTTTGTCTCTCAGAACCCCTTGAATTCCTGCGGGTGATAGTCGGCTTTGGAATCACACTGATCAGTGGAAAGCACTGTAATGTGAATAACGGGTTAGATGTGTGGGGCTGCTCTGCCTCCTGCCAGCTTTTGCTGAGTTTACAGGACAGTTGTACTTGGTTATGCAGCACTCGGCACAGCTGGTGGTAATGACTTTTTGGTGGTTGTAATTTGATTGAGCAGAAGGTAATGACAGGAGGTATAGAAGAAACACACCTGTTACCATAAAGAGATCATGTTAGCTCCATTAGTTAAGATTTAGCAAGTTAGTGTTCTTGAGCTTCACTGGATCATTTACTTTGCTGTTTGAAAACAAGTGGCATGTTCCTCTACTCCTAGCCTTGGCTATGTGAATGTCTATGGATGTTTCTGTGTCACTGATGTGACTGCACATGCATCTGTTTCTAGGCATGGGTGTTTCGCTGTGAAGCTTGGGGCATCATAAGTAGGCATTGGATAGTGGAAGGTTGTGTTTGTGTGTGGTTTGGGGTGTTGAAGAAAAGAGGCTTGTAATATTCAGGCATTTTTTCATCAGAATTAAGAAAAAGTAAATGTATGCTTGTATTAGGATAGTTGTGGGGGCTCTTGGTCTCACCTCTGCTGCGGTTTTGCTGTCCTTTTGCTCTGGGATTCTCTTGCCTATGAACATATGGTCGAATGCCCACCTAACTTTCTGTCTTTAGTCCTTCAGATAGTTTTTTCTAGTCCCTGGCAAAGTTTTCCACTGGGTCTCCAGTGTTTCTTCTGTAATTCTGGATCTGATTAAAGTGGGAGTGGGAATTGTGAAGAAGTGCCATGTGCTTGGACTTTCAGTGGTCTCCACGGAGTTCTGCATGGTGCAGATCCCTTAGGAACATGGGAAATAGGAAGCTTTTGAGTAAGCTCCTCTCTCTGAAGAGCAATGGCTGGGGTCTCTGGCACACAGGCTGTGCGTGGGTTAGATTTATTTGTGCACAGAATAGTGGTAGAATGGCTCATGGATGCAAGATGATCCAGCTTGGCTTCTTGTCCATGATTTTGTGTGTGAGAATGACTGTGGTGGATAAACAAGACAAAATTAATAATGAAGACTCAACCACTATACTTTGTTACTGGATTTTCTTTTTCATTTGTTGACATGTGATGGCAAGCATGTGGCAGCATAGATGGAAAATGTGAAATTTAGTTGCAGTGTGTTCATATCATGGAACCATTTTCTGTGTTATATGTTCATAGATGAGCTGCTTTCTGTTGATTCAGTGACTTTGTTGCCTGTCAGGCCGTTTATGGACATGGTCTTTTCCAAACAGTTGTGCTTATGAAAAACATTAACAGCCTAACTGATGTGCAGGGGAACTGTTTGTGAAAAATCCTTTCTAGTCTGCTTGGTGTCAGATTAGTCGAGTTAGATCAGAACAGCAATTGAAATATTTTAAATGAGCTGGCTGCTCTCATATTGAGGTGATTAGAGACAGCTCACGGTTACAGCTTCCCAGCAGATGAGCAGAGCTAGTCACTCTGGACAGGGAAACAAACTAAACAGATGTCGGTGGTATTTTCCACTGGTGCGTGTAGATGTGGAATGGGACTATCAGAAGATCTGCCTCAGACATCAGTCCTTCTTATTTGGACATGACTTAAAATCTGAAGGTACTGATATATTTTTAAAGGTACTACAACGTAACATTATTCAGCTCCTGGAAGTATGTGGGCCAGAGAAATAATACAGGAAGCTTTGTGACATGACCTTTCCCAACATTCCTTGCTCTTTAAATAAAAGTTCTAGGCTTATGCATGTAATAATTTTTAAATTGATTCAGAGAAGTTTAAGGTAGAAGAGTGGAACAATGTGTCTTCTTTTTTGATGAATGTATCTGTTCTTACTGAGTCATCTAGAGTTAAAAAGAAGTTGAGTACTGAAATAATTTAATAATTTAGAACAATTTCAGATTGCTGCTATAGCCTATTTGATGTATCACAAACATGTTAAAATCTATAGCTTTAGTGGCACGTAATTGATTGCATGAATTCTTTTTTGATGTTAGGAAAATAATTTTCCCTCCTGTAGCCTACTGTTTTTCTGTGCAGAGAGTTTCTTGGCTGAAATTAACTAGAAACTGTATACATCACTGACTTGTAAATATTTAGCACGCAAAATAGTAAGACTGGGAATTACCAACTGAATTTGGAAGTATTTGTCAAGAATTCCAATTTATGAAAGTCAAAAAAAAACTGCCTTTTTTTGTAATGATTCTGATAGGATTTTTTTCTCTCCTCCAAAATAATGTTTGGCAAAAGTTTAATTGCTCTGTTAGGACACAGTGAAAGCTTGAAATCTACCTTGCAAGAGCTTTGCCTTGAAATGTGTCAAAACCAGGTTTTAATAAGAACATTATAACTTTTTACCTGTTTTTACTTTTTATTTATAGAGATTAAATTAATATGTTAAGTTACTTCTCTTGATTTTACTGGAGAGACCTAGGCTAAAAAGAGTGCTGTTGTGATTTAGATGCTTTAAACAGCTATAACCTCTCAGTTTTCTATAACAGGCAGAGTCTGTGAAAGGCTTGGTACTTCAAGGAGATACAAAGCTGATCTGACAACTCAGTAGCTCTTTATCTGAAGCCTTCTCTGGAATTTTTAACACAAGATGTTAGGAGGGTCTGAAAACTATTTTGCTTGGTCCCTGATTTGGGAGACTTCTGTTCAGCAGTTTGTTAGAGATAAACAATGCCTATTAGAAGCGCATGAGTTGTAAGCTCCAGAGTTTGACATTTAGAAATCTCAGTTCATGGATTTTAGTCAGCATGCATTCAAAGCTGTAAAGTCTACCTTCTTTTTCAGGCTTTATAAATACAGTAGTCTGTTTTTTCTTTTTTTCTTGAGTTTTGTGGGTTTTTTTGTTCTGCTACTATTAGTTGTGAACTTTGCCAGTGAAAGCTGTTCACATCTTCTAGAACAACCTTGAAAATACTACATTTTTTCCAAGACCTCTACTTGACACCTCATCTTTGTAAGTCATTGAGCAAACTCATGGACTCAAATGCATTTTACTGGGGACTCTGTGTGTGTAATTAACAGCTCTCAAATATGTGTGCATACAGAGAACTAAGTTAGTAGGTGTCAGGACAATGAACTACTTTTTAGGGTTCTTTTTTTTTTTGTGGGTTTTTTTTTTTGGTTTTTTTCTTTTTTGTTTGTTTAAACCCTGTAGGACAACTCTAAAAAAATTAAATAAACCGAGTGAGAGGTTGGTGAATCTGGTGAGCTTCAGGACACAGGTGAACTCTTCTTTTCCAGTCAGGTAGATGTAATATTGGGTGCCCAAATACACCCTGCAGTGAGGATGAGCATATATTCCCAGTAGATACCTGCTGGGATTTGAAAAGGACATATGGATTCTAGTAAGGTGGAGACCTGGGGCCTCCTGAGATCCTCTTCAGTCTAAATTGCTCAGTGATTTCATGATGGTCTGAGCTTTAGATTGTGCTACTAGCCTGCATTATTCAAGTATATAATTACTGAATAGTTTATGGTAAATCTGTGGTTTTGATTAGGTTAAACTAGTATAGATTGCCTGACTAGCTAACTTGAATCAGGTCATACTGAACAATATATTTATTTTCAATTTGCAGAATGCTACTTAGTTCCTCTCTTATGGTTAGATTATAAGCATTGGTTCAAATTATTTTGTTTCAGATAAATGCAAGTGAAATCCAAAGATTTTCAGATTTTCCACTGTCAAAGAAAACCCTTAAAGGTAAGTATAGAACTTTTCTTTGGAAAATTCTATAAATCAAAGGGAATACATTGTTTACCTGCATCTGAACATTTTTTTTTTCTTTAAACTAAGTTTTAGGTAAGTATTGTCATGTACAGAATCTAAACAGCAATGCAGTCATGGATCAGACAAAATGAAATAGTTTTTTTCTTCTTTTTTTTTGTTCCTCTTCCCCTCACATACTTTTCCCTCCCTGCAAATACTAGGACTGCAGGAATCTCAGTATCGTGTGGTAACAGAGATACAGAGGCAAACCATAGGTTTGGCTTTACAAGGTAAAGATGTACTTGGAGCTGCAAAGACTGGATCGGGCAAAACACTGGCTTTTATTGTTCCAGTAAGTAATTTACATCCTTCTATTTCTACTCAAACCAAGTTATCTCTGAAATACTGATGTCAGTCAGCTTACACTAGTAGATCCTGAGAGAAAAGTTAAAATTCAACTGTTCTGTTTCAGGAAAACCAAGATACTTGGGAATAAAGCCGCTTGAGCTTCTGAAATACGTGTATTTTTTGTGCCAGGAGTATTCTGCGACTTAAAAGTTTCATTTTGATCCTAGCATTAGTAGGCCCTGTGTGATTTAGGAAGTGCTTTGTCTTTCTCTCAAGAATGTTTTCCTGCAACTCCAGTTGTCCAATTTTTCTGGCATTTGAAAACTAGGTGTATGAAACAGAGTGGTTGATTTTCAGTTCTTTAGATTTTTTAGGTGACTAGTTTTCACTCCTTTAAAATGTTACAATTTGGACCTTATATAACAAAGTTAATCTTAGTGATTGTAGACTTCCTGTCAACTCCTTAGAAATCACTTCTAGGTGCAAACAAAAAGTGGGATGAAAATCCCTGTAATGGATGTACATGTCTGACAGTTTTACTCAAAGCATCATGATCAGCATTTCATTTCTTCAATTGAGACATGTGCTTAAAGTACACATATGTATAAGTGGACACAAACCCCAAAGGGGATAAATATATTTTTTATGGTGTTACTCTGTATAAAACATTACTTGCATTTTTGTATGCATAAATTTCTTTGGAGCCTATTACTGTGAGAACAGTAGCAAGTGCTTTGAATATCTTCTCTAGTAAAGCAGATTTGTGCTATTCTACTTAAAAAAAATCTTATTAGTACAGAATAAAAAAAATGTAGTGGCTTCAGAAGTCCTGTGAATTTAAGAAACAAGTGAGATTACTCTATTATTTAATCTAAGAGTAGAAGTACTTCATTTTACAAACCTTATTTTTAAACAGTTTTAGAGAAGTGGCCTAAGAGAGGAGCTGAAGAGCTGAGGAGAGGAAAAAAATTAATTGTGCAAGTATGCTTACCATCTCTCAGTATTTCAGAAGGCTTCAGATATTCATACCTGTAACGTTCTTGTGTTAGGATTAGCTGACTAACAGAGTGTTTCTGCAGCATGAATTCATAAGAGGAAGAATAATCCTGGTGTGAGCTGTATGGCAACTTAAGTTGGAATACTCTGTATGTAATGTGTGGATAATACTGCTTCAAGTCTATAAGCCAGAATTAAAGCTTCAATAATTAACATTGTTTTAGGTGCTCATTCTGTTCCTGGTTCCTGCAAAACCTCATGAGCAAGGGAATTTCTCATATTTTTCTGCACTGATTCCTATTATCATATAAATGGCCTAATTTCCAGAATTTAGCAAAGTAGGATTAATTGTCCAGTGAAGTGTTTATGATTTTCCACCCATTACTGTCTGTCTTAGTTTGGTACTGGAGAATTTTGCTAACAGCAAGTATCATTACCATTAGTTAGAATTTATATATCAACTGTGTAAAATGTGCACTAATGTTTCTTCATGTCATTATTTTAATTAATGTGGCTTTGTCTTTTTTTCTTAAATGACACTTTTTTTCCAGTTTGTTGTTGTACATTTTCCTTCTGAAATTCTTGTGGTGATAACATGGTAATTTCTTTCAGGCTTTGGAACTCCTCTATCGCCAGCAGTGGACTTCAGCTGATGGCCTGGGGGTTTTGATAATCTCGCCTACCCGGGAGCTGGCATATCAAACCTTCAAGGTCCTGCGTAAAGTGGGGAAGAATCATGAATTCTCAGCTGGCCTTATTATTGGGGGAAAGGTGTGTGTCCTCTCTTGGAGTTTGCTGTATGGAAGCATAGTTGCTGAGTGCTGTATTCAGTGCTAGTTAAGGAAGGAAACCCTGGGCTTGAAAAGTCAAGGAGGAGAGTAGTTAATGAGAACCTGTCAGTGACCCACGAATTATTTTGTGTGTATTCATTGTCTTTTCTGAAGCGTATTTGCAGTCTTTGCAGTGTCCATGACTGGATGAACATTCCTTCCAAGTCTTCCAGAACTATCATGTTAATTTAGATTACTCTGAAATACTTCTTCCTCAAGCCACAGGGGTGAAGAAATGTGGCATATCTGTAGGAAGAGGAAAACTGTTCCTTGACTATTCTTTCTAAAAGCTGTTAATAGGTTAAACTGGCCTGACTGTCTCTGGTACTGGACTTCCAGTCTGAACAACTAGATCTAAGCTGGATTAACTCCATTACAGGATCTGAAAGAAGAGTCTGAAAGAATCCACCACATAAATATGCTAATTTGCACTCCAGGACGGCTTTTACAGCACATGGATGAAACTTCATATTTCTATGCATCTGATCTGCAAATGTTGAGTAAGTTTTTTAAGTACTTGAAAGTACTTGGGAATATATTGTAACAACTCATAATTGTGTGCAGCACTTCCTTGCATAAAAAGTTTATTCTTGTTATGTAGACTAAATGGCATTTAAACTTGCACGTGTTCAAATTAAATTAGGAAACAGCAAAACTCCTTTCTTGTGTGTACTTTCTCTGAAGCAGTTGCTGAGCATGCTGTCCTTAGGATGATAAGAACAAGCAGGGGGTTTTGTAAGTAAGCCAAACCCTAATATAGTGCCCCATATAATGTTTTACATTTGTCTTTACTAATGCTAAACTTAACCTTTCTGTCTATAGCTCCTGTGTCTTTCCTGACATGATAATTATCTAGCTATATAGGATATCCACTGCAGTGTGTGCATTTTGGACCAGTTCTACAAAACATTTTTCTTTGTGTTTTAAGACAGATTTCTGCTCCTTTTATTCTTTTGTTTGCATTATTAACATTGTTTTTTTTCATCCTTCCAACCTGAAAAAAAAAATTCAGTATAATGAAAAGGTTTGCCTGCTACTAAGAACTGCATAATCTTTAGCATAGCTTGAGGAACTTAAAAGCAATTAAGAAGTTAATGAGACTGATAAAATGTGAAATCATACTTGCTACACTTAGTACAATTCATGGCAGTTAGACAAAGAATTGCTTTAAATGTAGGCTTTTTTAAAGCTTTTATCTGTGCTACTCGGTTTATATCACATTTATATATTTCAATGGTAAATTCAGCTTAGGTACAGGAAGGTATTTTGCTCTGTCACAAATACTACAATACTGTTTACATCCTGTCCTTTTATTTCAGTAACAGGACAGGGAGTCTGTTTGCAAATTACCAAACTGTTCACTTGAGATGCTGATCTTTTTTCTTCTGCATATGAAACTGAGGGCTGTAGTGCATAGATTATGGAAAATGCTATGATTTCTGTTGCAGGTATTTTTAAATAAACATGTTTTATGAAATACAGGGATATCTAAAGAGATTAATCTCATAGTTACAGTAGTTAATCTCTGCATTTTAAGTATGGATAGAATTTTGTGCTACATGGATTTCATGTAGAATTTTTTAATAAGTAAATCTAAAACCAGTTTTTTCTCAAATTTATCTTTTAATCCAGTTCTTGATGAAGCTGACAGAATTCTAGACATGGGGTTTGCTGATACAATGAATGCAATCATAGAAAATCTACCTAAGAAGCGCCAGACTTTGCTTTTTTCTGCAACACAAACAAAATCTGTGAAGGATCTTGCACGGCTGAGTCTGAAAGATCCAGAATACGTTTGGGTTCATGAGAAAGCCAAATTCAGGTATGTTGATTTTTTTTTTTTCCCTGGGGAGGGTTAGATAGTGATCCTATTTAACTGCTTATCTGGCAGCTCCCTGAATCAGAGGTTCCATTGTGCATCCATCACTGGATCAGTGTCTGATCCTGCTGTGTACCTTCCTGCAAGTAAGGAATTTCCAAATGAGAGAGGACTAGCTCTGACTGAATCACTACAGGAAGGCTGAACTTGTGCTTGTCTTGACTTCTCAGGCAGCTTCTCAGACTGGAAATTTTTTTCTTCAGGATGAAGCTGCAGAGTGGATTATAGCCAGTATGCTGGGTCTAGCAGCACTGAATTCTGAGTAACTCCTTTTCTGCTGTTCGACGTCCTTGCCTCCTGCACCTGTGTGCTGACTGTGCCAAAGCACCACAAATACAGTTTGTGTGCCATTTGTAAATCTGGCTTTCCAAGGATGTGCTTTCCTTTCGGGCAAGTGCAGAATGGCAGTCTTGCTTGTGTATTCAGTATTGGGTGCCCAAAAGAAAGCATGTGCTGTTAGTTCATGTGCAGTAACTCCCGTGGCTTCCTGATGTGCTGCATTTTCCGTGTGTGTATAGGGCTCTGGACCTGTATGCACAAAATAGATTTCTCTTGCCCTACAGTTTGGAGTAGGGTGGGAGGCCCTTGCTGGAAGGGAAGTAAGTGGTGTGCCATGCTCAAAACATTTAATGAATGTTACTTTTTGGCATGTAATTTTCTTTTGAAATCCAAATGAATGTTATTTTGCATTTCCGTGGGCTGGATCATCTGAGTGTCAAATTACTTATGAGCATGGATGATTCTTTTTCTGCTCTTTTATGAAATATGCATATATTTCCATATGTAAAATGGAGGAGAAAGGTGAAGTACAGAGATAAACATGGTTTTCCTGGGAGCAAACAAGAAATCATAAGGAAAATGCATGGCAAAGCCACATTGAATCTCAAAGAAGTTTTTACTATTTGATTTGATTATCTACTTCAAATACAATTTTTTAATCAGTAGTACTATCAAAGGCATCTTAAATAAACATGATTGCCAGAAAAAAAAGTGTAGTTAATACCCTCTTATCAGAAGAGAATGTACAAGCCTTGTATGCAGCCTTCATTTTGGCAACCATCTATTTCACAGATCTCCCATGCTCAATGAAGTCTACTTTAAAGTACATTTAATTTTTTTAGATATTTGGGAGAATGGAATTAGATAACAAACCAAATTAACAGAAAGGTAAGTATTAATTTGTTTTAGAATTTACTGCCTTAGGTTATTGCCATATAAAAGCAATTTCCTGTGAAAGACGTAGAAAGCAAGAAGTGCTGTGGCATAATTAAAATTAAATAGCAGAATAAAAACTGGAGGAGACTCTTGTAATTTCATCCTCCCGGGTGACACCCTTTAGAAAGGTAATTTTGAATAACCAGTCTGTTTAAGGTGAAGTAGAGGGACTGTAAGAGATGAGCATTTAGATGTGTTTGAAGGACAAATATCACAAAGGATTTTTTTGTTGCTTTATTTCTACTTTTAAGAGCGGAAATGTGAGTTCAGATGACAATTCAGAGCTTTAGAAAGTCACTTTGCATCTCAGTGTAATCAGTAGAAGTACATCAGTGCTCTCTTTTTGTGTGTGATTAGATTCTGCTTTGACATTGCCTTAAGCACAAATGATGCTTTAATAGGACTAATAGAAAAAATTGCATTTTAAGTCAAGGCAATTTGAATGTCGCTGCTTAGACATGGAAAGTTTGCCTTGCTGGAAGTAAATGAATTTAGAAGTAATGTCAAAAGTCATCTCTCCCTCCCCACTGGCTTTTAATAAGGGGATGAATGTAGCTTTCAAATGAAGCTGATTAAGACTTGTTTCTCAAAGTGGGAGAGCTTTCCAGCCTGATTTCTTTTCTTTTTTTTCTGAGTATGTATAAGACTCTCTTGGCTTAAAAGAAAGGTGACACATTCCTGTGATTTTTCTAAATGTACTTTTTTGATGTGGTTTTGTTTCTTTTTCCTCCTTTAGTACCCCAGCAACTCTGGATCAGAACTATGTTGTCTGTGAGCTTCAGCAAAAAGTAAACATGTTATACTCTTTCCTGAGAACTCATTTGAAAAAGAAGACCATTGTGTTTTTTGCAAGCTGTAAAGAGGTACATTTTTTCTCTCCCTCCTACTGCTTCAGAATTAAAAACTGATAAAATGAGGATATTCATATAGATATCCATACATTAGAGAGGTAAGATTGTGGACTTAATTTGCAACAGGAAATTGGAGGAAAGAAACATCACCTACTGCTGCATGTCATTCAGGACCTTGGCTTCAAGGCAGTTCAGTGGCCTAGGCTCAATGCAGGAAGGTTCTGGAGACCTGAGTGTTCTCAGCCATTTTTGTAGTCTGCTGTTAAAAATGAATGCTAGAAGTTAATGTCAGTAAGGCCCAGCTAATTTCAGTTCTGTCTTTTGACATGTTTCATAGTTGGCTTACAAAGTATTTCAGTAATTGTACTTGCTTTCCTTACAAGCTTTTAAATCTGCGTGTTTGAGAAGATTGTGAAATAGTACTAGCAAAGGCTTTTCTTACATAATAGGTAATCTTTCAAACCTGCTTGTATAAGTGTCTTGGGACCATTTGTTGAAGCTATTTGCATGTGTTTGTTTGGCACAGGTATTTGTACCTATAACTACTGCATGTATCAAGTATTTTACAGTGCAAGTATTGCTTGTTAGTGTAATACAAGGCTAGTATTTTACAATAATAGACCATTTTACAATGGCTTAGTAAATATTCATTGCAATTCTTTCACCTGTGCAAGAGGTGATATTTTTGTTGTTCTGCAGCTGACTGGCGAGTACATTGAAGTGGTCGGCTTAGCTGTACAGAAGTTCTCAGAGTTGCAGCTGTTCTGCAGTATACACAGTTTATGTAACTACTTTCTTAAAAAGATGTTGGGTAGCTGCCTGCAATAAAACAATGCTGCATCATGGGTACTGTAGGTAGGGGTAAACAGGCTAATTTTATAAGAGAACATGTTGAAACTTGTAACAATAAACTGAGACTGTAGACTGTTTTGAGTTGCAAGTATAAAACACATTACCCCTCCAATACTGTCTAAAAGAAGTGCTTCTGATGGACTTTTCTTACTTTGGTCCTTTGCATACAGCCTAAGTTCTCACATCCCAAGTTGTTCTTGCTGTTGCCTACTCTGGTTTCCTTTAGGAAATGCCATCAAAAGGGCATGGCAATCTTTTTCCACAATTGTTGTCATCTTTTGACCTGGTTGTGTAACAAGGTCTCAACATCTTTTTTTCTCTGAACTGGAGAAAAGTTTTTTTAATTTGATGTACAATTTCAGTTGCTACATACACGGTATATGATCTTGACATGTTTAGCAGCGCATGGTAGTAATTCTTTTCCCCCTTGATTTGTTGGGTAGGTTCAGTATCTCTTCAGAGTGTTTTGTAAGCTTCAGCCTGGTCTTCCTGTCCTGGCACTCCATGGCAAGCAGCAGCAGATGAAGAGAATGGAAGTCTACACTTGTTTTGTTCGGAAAAAGGCAGCAGTGCTTTTTGCTACAGATATCGCAGCTCGTGGCCTGGGTAAGTACCCACAGAAGCAGCAGCTAAACCTGTTGAAGCTTTTTCAGACTTTATACTCTGAAGACTGACCCAGTTTCTGAAAAATGAAGCTGTAGTTTGCCTAGGAGCTCAAAATAGAGTTGTTTCCTAGAGTTCTGCTGTTTCTTTACTGAAGTGGCCCACTTCATCTGTTCTTACATTTTTTTTTTATCCCAGAGAAACTTGTGGTAGGTAAACAGTGATGTATAAGTGATGTATTTATTTACTACATACTGTAAAGCAAGATTTCAGCTGTTTTAAGTATTTCTGATATGCTTGTATCCTGTGGGTTATTTCAAAGGATATGAAAAATTGCTAACCTACTGGTATGTGGAAATGGAAACCTGAAATTTGAATGTCTGATAGATGAATGGCATTGTAGGACTGCATTGATAAGGAGACAGAAAAAAAAATGAGGGTAATTTTTCTTTTCCTTCAGTTCTTGGAGGCACTGAAGTATAACAGAGGACTTTTCAGGAGTCCAGTCATTCTTTGAGATAGCAAACTCTTTTGTCCAAAATGTGAGGCTTTGTCACTATGTTACAAAAAGAAACAAAGTGCTCTAAAAACTTAAGTCAGGAATGAAAATTGGTTCTCATACTGCTGAAATCTCACCAGTGACTATCTAATTTGGGTATGGTTAGTTTGGTTTAGAGTGTGGGTATAATTCTGGAATACAGTATAGCTGCAGATTTATTTTGGAAGTAACACTTCAGTGCAAAGTATGCTGCTGCTGAGTAAAGTGCAGCAGTTAGAAAATGCTTATTAATACCATTTACAGTCAAGGTTGACTTTTGTCAGGCTTGGTCACCCACTTCCACCCTTAAGAGGGGCTATTGTATTTCTGTATGTGACAGCTGAAGTGATGCAGTCTCACCACAGCTAACTTCAGACCCCAATGGTGTAGCATATTAACAGTGAGGGTTAAAAGTGGGTCAGATATTGTTATATAATTGTTAACCACAGGATGTTTATCATCTGTGTGACATAAAGCATGTCTATTCTTGTCAAGTGTGAATTTATGTTCCATTCATTGCACTGTCATAATTTAGGAAAAGAACACGCAATTAATTTAACTTTCTTTGATGAAGAGAATTATTGTTTATGTATGCTAATGTATGCAACTAATTTTGTTTTTATTTCAGAGGTTGCACCTAATGTCTGTAAATGTGTCCAAGTGATGATTCTTACAGGAATTAATGCTCTTGCATAGGAGGGTTTTGAGTGCAGTGAACTTACTTGATGTATTTTTTTCTTTACACAGATTTTCCAGCAGTGAATTGGGTCATTCAGTTTGATTGTCCAGAAGATGCAAACACATACATCCACAGAGTAGGAAGAACAGCCAGGTTTGTTTTCACTTTTCATTAGTATTTTAATATTAAAAACAAGATCTTTGTAGGGACAGATCGCTGGCTAAAGACTCAGTTAAAAAAAATTAAGATATAAATTAGAAAGAAAAAGACTGTTATCACTAAGAGATCCTTTTGATTAGTTAGGAGTAATGATTTAACTTAATAGTTTCTTAGTGAGCTTCAGAGATTTATTATAGCAGAGAAAAATATCCCTGATTGTTCCATCTGATTAGGGACAATTATTAGTGAGGAAATAGAAAACCTTTTTCCCTTGGCAGGATTACCTCAAAGGATGAGTTGAGTGTGTTTGTGGGTGGAAAAGCTTGTTTTGCCACTGACATTTAGAGATAAATAATGTTTTAGGCTGTGGATCCAATTTCTTTGTGAAGACTCTTCAAAAGAATGGAACTGTTTCTTCCTTATTTTAATTTGGGAGGAAGGAATCAAATGTTAATTACAGGTTAAGTTTTTAATTTTCTAAGTCTATATATTTAAGCAGAGCTTTAGTTAAAATATTTGTGGCTAAGCCTTTATGATGGGAGTTACCCAGATACACTGTTGTAAACCAGGTCCTTCATCTCTTCATTTCTGAAGTAGATTTTTAAGTGAAACAGAAGCTGTTACTGCATGTAATTCAGAAGATCAAAAACTTCATGCAATTATCTGAAGGATGAAATGTGAGGCCTAGCATTATATCTTGTCTCTAATTTAATTTGTTTGTAGTAGAACTTGCAATATAGGCTGTTGTCAAACCTAATGACAGAGCAGTTGCTTAGAACAGGATTTCAACACTCTTTAAGAATTTGAGATCTGTGTTCCTGGATCAGAAGGCTGTAAATTTTGGTGACTGTATCATGAGAGTGCACTTGCAGCACTCTTTCACAACATGGGTTTAGCCATGGGTTTTTCACATGGGTTTAGCCATGTTTTCATTGTAAGTGGTCATATTTCTGCCCCATTCTGTCTCTGTTCTCTGTTTTCTGATCTTCTATAGTAGAAGGGAATGATAAATTTTTAAATGACTTAGGAAAAAACCTGTCAATGAACAAAGTCAGTGAATGTTGTGTATAATTAAATAAAACACGTAGCTATTTTGGTGATTTAAAATTTGGATGTAGTCTTACGCATACCAATTGAGAGAAAAGCATATAGGCTTGGTTAGAGTTCTGTAATATTTCCTTTTTTGACTTTCTTTGTTTTTTGGTCCTGTGTAGCTTTCAAAGAAGGCTTGTAATTTTGTCTTTATGGCATACTGTCATTATGAAAGGAAAACAATGCAGTTGGCACTGTTTAATTGACAGGGCTTAGAATACTGGTTGAGCTCTTTCTAAGCCATGTCACTCAGTTAAAGCACCTCCCTGGGGTTGTAATCCTCAAGCCTTTTCCCAATTCTCATTAGAAGCTGAGAAGAGCAATTGTAAGTAAGTTTAGCATGGGGAAACAGCTCTAAAAAGGTGCAAAGTCAAACAACTCCCCTTTGTCATAATGCTTTTATTCAAATGTCCTCTGAGAGGATTTCAGTCTGGCAACCTTAAGGGTCTGTTTTCAGGGGCATCTTTAAGTACAGCCTTCTGTGATTGCTCGAGGGGCAAATTTAGACAGAAAATTGGGGCAGGGTGTCTGTCTCAGGGACTGTGGGCTGTGCTGGATGCCTTACTGGGATGTAGATTACATTTCCTTCTATGTCAATTTTTCAGTAGGGAGACCTTACAGAAATTGGGAGTACATCTGAGCAAGTTGTATGAGCTGGAGGGTGTTGACTGACAGTGAAAGCAAATTCCTTCTGTAGGAAAAGCTTCATGGGTATTTTCTGTTTCCTAATCTCATACAAGGATCAGCAGGTTCTGCCTATACTGGGCATTCAGTTTGAAGAATCATACAGGTTGTCTCCATGCTGAAGGTAAAACAGTCCTGGAAGGAAATTTGTTTAGAAAACTTAATAGCATGAAATAAATATTTGAAAATAAAACAAGGGAGATGTTTAATAATTTTAAGTAAACACTGTGCAATAAGTGAATATGCTAATGCAGTTTTTGATGTGGGTAATTGAGAATGTACTTCTCATTCAAATCTGAGTGTTGAGTTGGAAGCTTCATTTGTTTTCAATAGCTACAGTTCATGTGAGAAGCTCGTGTTTCTTCTAGAAACTTGATAAAAATGAACTGAACTGCAATTTAGTAGTCCTCATTAATGAGGTTAGAGATAATTACAAATTTTTATGGGTTACGAGAATATAATTGCATAGAATGAAAGATAAATTAAATATCTCATCTAATTAAGGGGCTATGTTAAACTGTAATTAAAACTGGGATGCCAAATACCGTTTACTTTTGAAGTAATATCATTTTGTGATACAAAAGTAAATATAAAAGGAGAGAAATTATGTTGGGGAAGGGGCTGGAAAACCTTTGACTAACAATCATGGATGTGTTCCCACGTGCATCTTACAGTTCTGCAAAGCTTGATCTAAGACAAGAGGTAACAGTTTATTTTTAAGTGGATAAGGCCACAATGATCCCTAAGAAATATTTCATTTGCATTTTACCCTATTGAAGAGCATAAATTGCAACTCCTGCATTTTTGATTTATGATAAGATCAAGAAAATCTGGGTGTAGTCCAGTAATGCTTTTGCTTTGTAGTAGAATTGACATATATTGAGTGGGGTTTTTTTAGTAAACTTGAAAGGTATGTCAAGAAGCTGTTTCTTCCAGTTGCTTTCAAAGTCTTAAATAGTTCACTGACAGACTTTCTAAAATATTGACAATATCATGGGCAGTCTAATAAATACTTTTGGTGTTATTTTTGCCACATGATTTCTTTAAAAAGTCAATGGTTTAAAGCACTAGATTACAGTGTTTCCAGCAGGATTTCGTTTTGAAAAACTCTAAATAAAAGCTGCTTGTAGCAATTGCCTGAAAAACTAATTTCTTCTGGCTTTTAATTTCTATTGATGCCTTCTATTCTATAACTTATGAAGCCTACAGTTGAAAGTATTCTGTGATGAATTTTGTGAAACAAGTTACAGTGCCACTAGGGGACAGCAAAACATAATAATTTTTGAAGCACCCTGATGCTCATTTTTTTCTCTGACTATTTTTCTAAACATAATCTCTAAGTTGTATGGCATGAAAAAAGTCTATAGGGATATTTTTCTTCCAGTCATGATTGCATTGGTGAGACAAGACACCAAAAAGTTTATTTTATCTTTTTGTTCATGCATAACTACCTTCAATTTTGGATGTATCTATATCCTGGCAAGTCTCAGTAATCAATTTCTTTCTTTCCTGGCATTGCATTCATCCCTCTACTTAATGTTTAACTTTTTTTTCCTTCAGAAATGACTATTAAAAACTCCTGCTTGAGTTTAGTGATTTTCCTGTCATGAGTCTTTTTGTAAAGGCACTGACACTGTAATGTTACACAGAATGAATATTTTTATTCTGCATTTTTTATCTGTGATATGTCTGGAGCTATGTAAGATTTAGATCTGACTGGCTCAGACTTCTGATGGTACTTAATCCAGCCTAGTTGGTTAGCTTTCTTAGGTGCTTACACTGACATAGGAAATTGTAATTTTGTTGTTGTCAATAAAAAGTGTGCATACAGGTATACATCTTTTCTTTTAGTAAATTCTATTTCTGAAAACAAATGGAGTAATAAAACTTCCATCTTCCCAAAGCAGAATACTCTGTTACCTACCATTTTTGTAGTGCCTGGTATGATGATTAGACCAAAAGAGATAGGATTAAGGACTTCTAAGAAGAATGTGTATTTTGATGCTTTGTGAGTACTGGTGAACACACCTGTCAAATCATGGAAAGGTGAAAGGGGCAAGGTGACAGAATGATCTTACTCTGTAATGTAGCATAAGCTTTGAAGCTCATTAATGCTCACTCAGGCTCTCCTTAAGTAATTGCACATTATATGTGTGAAAGTGAGACTAAAAAACCTTAAGAGTAATGTGACAATAAAGCATTTAAAAATATGAGTGACTTAATATCATCTTTTTCAGTGATGGAAGCTTGATTTTTAAATTTTTTTTTAATTGGGAAAAATATTTCAGCGATATATGTTCTGGGTCCTGAATAATCACAGCAGCTAAGATGACAGCTCCTTGTTTTGATTATTTTTCTATTTTTATTTTAAAACCCACTGAAGCACTTTGAATGCTGTTGAAAAATAAATGCTCTATTAAGACCATTTCATATTATATTGCAGTCAAGTCATCCTAACTCAAGTTAAGTAAAAATAGCTGCCAGTGGAGGTCACAAGACATTGTTGACACCACGTTTAACGTGGAACTCATTTTATTAAATGCTCTAAAATTAAACACTGTATCCTAGCTACATTCTTGACAGTGGCCTCTGATGCTGCATTTGTATTGACTGGCACTGTTACCTGCTAGAATTCTCTTCCTGTTGGAATGGTAGGAATGTTCCTGTGCACTGAATGATTTAAGTGGCCAAGGTTATTACCTGCTGATGTGAAGCTATGCTGTTAGCTGGAATAACAAAATAAATAAGCACATGTATTTTAACTCAGCAGAGTGGACACAGCTGATGTGGGAAATGGATTGCTTCCAGTGTAGGCTGGAGGAGTGAACAACCTCCCAAGGCCTTTTGAAATAATTTTATTCTAAGACTAACTTGATAAGATTGGTGAGCCACAAGAACTGATAGTGATTCTTGTCCATTATTTCTTGTGCCCAAGACTGGCAAGCAGGGCCTCTCGCCCAGTATGGCTGAATGAAGGGGACTGTGGTTCTGTGGTAAGAGTAGAACCCAGGTGGTTCTCTGAACTTGCCAGTAGGTGTAAGTGGGTTACTTTCCAGACAGAAGAAGGATATTAAGTGGTCAGTTGAAAAGAAAGTATAAACTGAATCAATTAAGCTCTGACTTCATAGCAAAATTTACTGATAATTTTTCGGGGATACTGAACTACGGTCTATTCAGAGGAGAACAGAAGTGATCTAAAGCAAAAGGAAAAAAAAAGA